GTAGTAGTTTTAGTTAAGGCTATATATATATATATATATATATAAATATAAATAGAAGTATAAAAAATGTGACATATCAAGACAGAAGCCAGAATAATTAAAATGATTAACATTGAATCAAATGTAAAGAGACCTTAAATTCCTTCTCTTGCATCTACCAAAGCTACCCAGAATCTGTCTTGTTAAGCTGAGGAAGCAAAACTGTTCTTTGTGAGATTGGTTGTTTCCTTTTTCACAAGTGGAGGAGGAGATCAAATTAAAGATGTGCCTTTCAGGGCTAGTGTTGTACACCCTGACACAAATCTGATGCATGCATGGATCCATTGACTCCACCCATGCTATTAAAATACTGTGTAGTTTATTACATCTGAGACTACATGTTCCCAAATCCTTCACTTTCACCCTTCATTGGATCATGGTGCTACTGAATATTAAGTTGAATGATAATGGCCACAAGGTGAATCCATGGAGAATGGATTATGCAAAGATTCTGTAGCTCTTTTCATTGGGCAACCATACAAAAACTAGTTTTTATTGGTTTGCCTAACTTTTGATGTCTAACATCATAGATAGGTTCTTTGGAATTTTCTTTCCTATCCACCCCAGATTTGCTTGCCCTCCATGAATGTTGTTCCCAAGTCATTGGTACCACCATGGTGGAGACTTCAGACCTGGTCTGTGATCCACATGTGACACCTACAGCACCTTCGATGGGACTGTAGCATCCATTTGTTTGGTGGCCAAAGGTCACTGTAGGTCATGCATTCCAAGCAAAAGTGGGAGACCAAACATCCAAATGACAGTATACTGGTGGCGGCAGGGAAGTTGCCTTGGAACTGAGCTTTCTTGTGCCTCTTGTTCAGGATATGGGGACAACCTTTGCTTTGAATATATCAAAGCTAACGTGGGGAGCAACCACCACATTCAAAGAAGCAAAGAAAGATCAGAAAACAAAGAGGAAAGGAAGGTAGGGAACGAAGAAGAAGAAGAGTGGCCAGAGAGATTCTCACGGAATAGGGGTAGATAGAACAAAGGGTAGGGCAGCTGTGTTTTCTTGAGGATTCACCTTTTAAGTTGGGTAGAAAAAGTGAGAGTTGAGGCAAGTCCTTGCAATTTTAGGAGTGATATGTAGGATTTATGTGTCCCACTTTTTCTGGTCTTCACCTTTTTAAGGTCTCTAATACTTGAAGCAATGTGGGGATTGATTTGATTGGGGTGATGGAAACAATAATGGAGTCTTGGGAGAGTTGATGGAGAGAGATCACATGCCATTTGATGGGCATTCTCTTTCCCCATTCTTCATCATCCCTGGCAGCAGTCATGAGGCAAGAAAGAGAGAGAGAGAGGATCTCACTGTTTATGGACAAAAGTGCATCAATAACTATGAGCACTGCTTTTTAGTAGCTGAACATATCCACCAGTAACTGTGGCTATCTAGTCTGAGCTAAATTATAATACTCAAAACACTTTATTTGAGGACCACAAATCAAATACATGAGCAACCTCTTTATCTAGAACATAAAAGAATTGTTCAATGCATTATGATTCTCCTTTTATGTTGTTGCTATATATCCAAAGTTCTTCTGGGATTAATCAGATAAAAGGTAAGCAATAATGTTTGGAAGGTAAATATATGAGATAATTTTGGATTATACTATCTTTGCTTTAGTTTAGTGTAGATTAGAAATTATCACTATTCAGGTTGCCAATCAGTATAAGGATGATATCATATGGAGCATTTCAGCCAAAGTTTGAAGTTTAGAGTCCTTTCTTTGGCTGTGGAATTGAGAGTTTGATCTAAATTTAAGGGACAAAACAAAGGACCAAATCTCTCTTTCTTTCTTGATCCTTTACTTGTTAGCTTGCTTTCTTTTAACTTTCTTCTTTCTCCTCTCTTTGTGAACCAAGACTTAACTAAATCCCCTCCAATGCACCCTCGCTCTCTCTCTCTCTCTCTCTCTCTCTCTCTCTCTCTCTCTCTCTCTCTCTCCCCGTATATATACAGCATCATGAAACACCCCTTTCTCATGGCAGTAGAAGCCCACAACCTTCACCTCTTCTCCTCTCAACACCTCCTAAGAAGCAGGTTCCAACTTCTCATCACCATTTGTTTCTTCTCCATGCATGCATGCTCATGTCTTCTCTTATTGTAGTGGCAGTCGTGGCTCTCGAACTGTATTGCTGTTTCTTACTGTGCTGTACAGGGAATCAACCAAGCTTGCACACCATGCAAATGGGATTCCTCTCGCCGGTATCCGGTGCTGCTGCCGCCCCCGGCAGTGTGCTCGGCTTCAACAACGTCGCCTCCGCCGCAGTGCTAGCGCCAAGGAAGCGGTTGCGCCAGGTCTCGCTTCTTGGCGATGACATGTCCTCCCACCTGCAGCAGCAGGTGCTCGACATCGATCGCCTCATCCTGCAACACGTAATTCTCCGGGTTCCGTAGTTGATGGCTTCTCTGGATCGAAGGAATTAGCGGTTTCTGAGCCTTGGCATTGGAAATGGCAGGCGGAGAGGGCGCGGGCGGAGCTGACGGAGCGGCGGAAGCGGTTTACGACGCAGATCCTCGCTGCGCTGGAGGAAGGCATGTCGAAGCGGCTTAGGGCGAGCCAAGAAGAGGTCGCAAGGTTAGGGAAGATGAACTGGGCATTGGAGGAGCGCATCAAGAGCCTGTGCGTGGAGAACCAGATGTGGCGCGACATGGCGCAGAGCAACGAGGCAACGGCCAACGCGCTGAGGGCCAACCTCGAACAGTTCCTCGCGGCGCAGGCGAGGGCAGAGGAGGAGGCAGCGACCGCCGACGACGCCGAATCCTGCTGCTGCGTAGGCGACGGGGAGGAGGAGGCCGGCGTGAGGAGGGAGTGGAGGAGAGCTTGCCGGAGCTGCCACGACGGCGAACCGTCAGTGTTGCTGCTGCCGTGCCGGCATTTGTGCCTTTGCGCGGCGTGCGGCCCGGCCGTGGACGCATGCCCCGTCTGCCAATGCAGCAAGAGTGGTAGTGTGTGCATAAACATGTCTTGAATTCAACAACAACAGAGCACCACTATATGCATCTGATAGATACTTTGGAGTCCTTCTGGTCTGTTCTTTCAACCAAATTGAATTTATTGGAGTGTTTGTAGATATTGTTGATGATTCATGAAATGCAAACCAGTTCCTTCCATTGATCCACCCAATCTCTTCTCTTCAAGTGAGGTAGGCCATTCTACTTGGTCTTTCGACGATCATCTACCCCCAAAACTAGGGGAGTAGAAATGGGGGTCGCATCTTCCTCTCCATCTAAAGACTTTTAGGCCACACCCTTTATTGTGTGTGCATTGCAGTGCCCAAGCCTCAAACAGTACACTACGAAATGTCTTGCGCTCCTTCCACTATTATTAATAAATAAATAAATAAATATATATATATATACATATACATATATTTCATATATATTAATACGATTAGAAAAAATAGATGTTTAACATTTTTAATATTTAAGACATAGAATAAAACCAAAATAATCATATTCTTAAATAAATAGACATAATTCATAAATCATACCATAACTTAAACAAACAAGAAAATACAACATATTACATTCTACGTCAAAGAAAATAAAAAAAAAAGTAAAACAAAATTTACATAGATAGATGAGGAACAAGAAAAGCACAAACCACATAACATAAAATACGATCACGATTCCACCAACTTCCTTTATTTCTTCATACCTTTTCCCTACTCGCTCTGAAGCAGCCTCATGAGGCTTCTGTGAAGAGCGAGCTGTCAGAGATCGAATGGGCCGTTCGGATCCAGCTGCTTGCAAAGGCCGAGGTAAGTCAGGTAGAGCACTCGGTCCTTGGCGCCGGTGCGGTGGTTCTTGGTATGCTTGCAGAAATACTTGAGCTGTTCCAGCGTGCAGTATCCCAACGTCTGCCCCAGCAGCATGAACAGCCAGTTGATGTTGCGTTTCTTCCCGTCCACCACCGGCCGCATGCAGTTGGGCTGCCCGCAGGCGTCGCAGTCCGGGAACGTCGGGTTCATCCACTCCGCCGGCGCCCGGTCGTGCATGAGGTGCCTCGTCGCCGCGATGCGACACGCCACCTCCCGGAACTTGGACTCCAGGTCGTACCTGATTATCCTCCGCGCCTCGCACCGCTTGCACTGCGCATCCCCGTATACCTCCTTGAGGTCATGGGAGAGCAAGTAACTCAGGCTGTGGACGGTGGCCCGACGATCGGTGGACCATGGAAAGATTGGTTTGATGGAGTCGCTCTTGCCGCTCCTCGGCCCCTGGGTGGGGTTGCGCCGTGTGCGTCCCCCGCCCGACCGAGGCGAAGCAGAAGCAGAAGATGAAGAAGCAACAGCAGCGGCAGGATTGGTGGGAGGAGGGATGACCGTGTAACGACGAGGAACATGCAAGACGGGAGGGAAAGGCGGCGGCAAGTTAGTCTGCGAATACTGGTGCGGCTGTTGCTGCAGTGTAGGCGGCGGCGGCGGCAGCAAAGAAGAGGAGGAGGAGGGAGGGTTCGACACGTGACGTGACGGAGAGACTCCGAGGGTGAGTTCGACGTTGAGATCGTCGGATCTGCACAAGGAGTTCTCCACAGTACTCTTGCTGTTCATCTTGATCCGCCTTTGGCCTTCTTCTTCTTCTTCTTCTTCTTCTTCGACATCTGCTTCTGTCGGGGGGAGATATATACAGGAAGGGGAGGGCCGAGATCGGTGGTGATAGAGCTGACGAGGATGAGATGGAGCGGTCGGTTTGAAGTTCGAAATTGCAAAGATTAAGGAGAAGGGGGTGGTGTAAGTTGTGGTGGAAGACCAGAAGCCAGGCTGTTGCTTAGGGTTTCGGAAACTAACTCCGCGAGAGTAATGGCGGCACTCGCTGTGTCTTGTGCTCACATCCCTCCCCTTATCTCGCCCCTCTCTCATCTCCTCCATTTCTTTTCCCTATTTATTATTATTAGACTGGCAGAACTAAGAATTGATTGTTGTGATGATACAACGATTAAGAATATAACTAGTATTCGTTTTATGTCTTCGACATGTATAATTGAGAGTACATATACGTGGAGAATAGGAACACACATATATGCTACATTATACGGAAAACTATGCTACGAAGACAGGATATGTTCTGTCTGTTTCCCATCGACACTGACAGGATCCCTGCTTATCTAAATCATCGAGATTTGGATAATAACTGCAAAAGACCTGATTCGATAGGCAAACAGTTCCACATGAGTACCTAATGATTCGATTTTTCTGGTCCGATATCTATCACATCATGTCGATTTGTTCAGTATCTGATCTAGCTTTCAATGAAATCCAATTCCAATATTTGTTCATCAACATGCATCCGCAGCAGCATGGCTTGTATTGAATTGGTTTTGCTGAGAATTGACATCTGTTTGACATTATGTTCCTGTACAGAACACATTCTTTTGATCTTCTAGTCTTCGAGTTCCATGAAGAACAAGCAGGTTTAAAGGACTTCCTGGATTCTGTGATCTACAGAAAGAAAGCTATCTTCTTCTCAGTTCTCTTCGACGTATGCATGCACAGTTCAAAGGTGCAACACCACCACACTGTGTCGTCAGGACCAACCCCTGCGTGCGAAACACGGTTGTGGCCGCTTTCGCACGCGTGCCAAGGACAAGTAATATCGAGCGGTGGCGCGGGAAACAGTCAACCGCCAGCCCAAGAATAGACAGCAGGTTGGCTAAGAATGGAGGACGACGGAGCGTCTTCTCTTCCTTCCTCTTTCTCTTCTGTTTCTTGTTACTCCCATCCTTTTCTCCCCTTAATTCCAGCCTGCTTGATGGCTCCTCTGATGGCATGCCCACATAGAAATAGTAAATCTATATATCACTCCAAGGATCGGAGTGCTGGTGTTTGGAGAAGGACGACGCTGCGCCTTCACGCACCGTCTCCTCCCTCGCCCTTCTCTGAGTACCATCCTCGTCCCTCCCCTTGGATCATGAGAAGATAGCAGAAAAGGTATTTGTAGGAATCGAAGATTCATGTTTTCATGGCGTTTGTTTGATGTCTTCTGATCATGGAGCTCTTTGTAGGGGTTCTTAGTATACTACCACGGCATTGTCCGAAACAACAGTTGAGAGGGAGGGCGGCGAGTCCGGAATATGACTTCCGCTCGGCCGCCGGGTGTTTCCTCATCAACCTCAATCAATTCTTCGTCTTCGTCTTCGTTTTCGTCGTCGTCAGTATCTCCTCCTCCATTGAAGTCGCCGGACGCTTCCCCACCTCCGACCGCTAGCCCAACACCGCCCGATAAATCACCGCCCTCGCCTCCTTCATCCTCGAAAGACTCCTCGCCATCGCTGGAGTCAGACGATGGCTCTTCTTCAGTTCCCTCGCCATCTCCACTGCCCACCTCGCTGCGGCGGCCCTCTCGGACATCGTCGTCGCCGGTCACTCCCTACTCCAAGTCGTTGGTGCATGCTGATTCCACGAATGATTCAGGGGGGTCAACACCGGCAGACTCATTCTCCAAGTCAAGTGAAGTTCACCATTCTGATATGAACTTGCCGCTTATCATCGGAGTGGCGGCAGGCTTAGGGCTATTCTTTGTCCTCATGGTAATTGCATGCGTCTGTTGCTCCACGAAGAAGAAGAAGAAGGACAAGGACAAGGGCCACAACGCTATGCAGTACTATTCCGATCCTTCGGGATACAAAGGTACACGAAGCAATCTCTTGGCTTAAATCTTACGGACAAAACTACGAGTCTCAAGTGCAGATTACTTAACCAAGAAGTAGTGCAACCGACAACTTGTCTGTGATTGTAGACAGCGACTATTACGGCGGTGGACCGCCCCAAAAGTGGCACAACGAAGGCCATGACGTGAAGGTACCACCACCTCCGGGACCCTTGCACGGAGGAGGGTGGCATGCTCACCATCCTCCGCCCATGATGAACAGCGAAGACGCAACCTCAGCCTACTCAGCGCCTCATGGTCCTCCACTGCCACCCCCCTCCCCTGTCATCGCCCTCGCCTTCAACAAGAGCACCTTCTGCTACGAAGAGCTCGCGACTGCTACCAACGGGTTCTCGCATGCTAACCTGTTGGGGCAGGGAGGATTTGGGTACGTGCACAAAGGAGTTCTCCCCAATGGGAAGGAGATCGCAGTAAAGCAACTCAAGTCGGGGAGCGGACAGGGAGAGCGGGAGTTCCAGGCTGAGGTCGACATCATTAGCCGCGTTCACCATCGCCACCTCGTGTCCCTCGTCGGATACTGCATCTCTGGTTCACAGAGAATGCTGGTGTACGAGTTCGTCCCCAACAAGACTCTCGAGTACCACCTCCATGGTCAGCACTTGACTCCATTGTTTCCGCAGCCTGCATCGAAGATGCTTGTCGAACCAATCTCAATCTTTTCCGCCATCTGCTGCAGGAAAAGGACTCTCGGCGATGGATTGGTCGACCAGACTCAAAATTGCGTTAGGATCAGCCAGAGGACTCGCTTACCTGCATGAGGACTGTGAGTAAATTGCACATCTTCTCGAGGAATCTGTGTTATGATCTCTAGCTTATTTGATTGAAATCATCTCCTCGAAGGTCACCCTCGAATCATTCACCGTGACATCAAGTCTGCCAACATCCTCCTGGATTTAAAATTCGAAGCCATGGTAAGACAGTTCGTTTTGTTGTTGCAGTACGAAGTGCTTCAGATTGCAAAGAAAAAACAAAAAATTGGAGAGAAATGCAAATGTCAGTTGATGAACTTTTGCATATTACATGCGCAATGTATCCTAAAATCTTTAGTTTATGTAAAAACATGTATGTAGGTGGCAGATTTCGGGTTGGCCAAACTGTCGTCCGACAACCACACTCATGTTTCCACACGTGTTATGGGAACGTTCGGGTGAGCAAGATGTTTGATGAATTGCCAGCTTCTCACTACAGCAAATTCCAGTCTCTATCGTCACTGTTTCTAAGACATCATCGTCTGTTGTTCCCCCCCCCCCCCTCCTCCTTTGGTGACCAGGTATTTGGCTCCTGAGTACGCATCGAGCGGGAAGCTGACAGAGAAATCTGATGTCTTTTCCTATGGAGTGATGCTTCTGGAGCTGATAACAGGACGACGACCGGTCGATACACACACATTCATGGAAGATAGCTTGGTGGACTGGGTAAGTGTTCTTCCGCCATGCGTGCTATGGTTTCAGCTGTCAAAACCGACTGACACATTGGCTTGATCTCAACAGGCAAGGCCTGTGTTGTCGCGTGCTTTGGCTGACGGAGACTACGATGAGATAGCTGATCCACGCTTAGATGGCAACTACGATCCCATGGAGATGGCACGCATGGTGGCTTGTGCCGCTGCCAGCGTTCGCCACTCTGCGAGAAGACGACCGAAGATGAGCCAGGTTTGATCACTGCAAACTTCACCGTTGCTGTGTTCGCCTCAAATCCATGACCTGTGTGTTTAAACTTATGAAAACATCAGATTGTGAGAGCATTGGAAGGCGACGTATCGCTGGAAGACTTGAACGAGGGGATGAGGCCCGGGCAGAGCATGCTCTTCGGCTCAGGCTCCGACTATGAATCGAACTCGTACACCTCCAGCATGAACCGTCTCAGAAAGGTTATGATCGCAAGCCCTGAATACAGTGATGGGTACGACGGACCGATCACAGAATTCGAGCATTGCCATTCTGCATCCAGCAGCGGAGGATTCTCCGGCGACTTGAATCCTATCGGAAAACAAAGGCATTTTTGAGGAGGTCAACACGAGGCCCAGCTCCTTGAGCATCATGCTTCCCGGTATCTGGTCTTTAAGATCGACACAATGTCCGGCGAAGAAGATCTTCTGTGACTTCAATGGTTGATGATGTACACTACTCGAGCACATTTATTTGTCATTTACAGGGAAAAATGTGTAGAGGGAAAACAGGATTCGAGGATGATGTTGTGCTTTATCCAATTGTTCTCGTTTAGCTAATGGATTTTGTATCTCATTCGTCTATTCGAAACCTCATCTTTTAAATATCATATAAAAATATGTTTATTGGGTGATGATACATTTGATTCATCGAATGCTAACGTCATCTGAAAGTCAACGCGGAAAACACCTGTTAGAACGCGTGTGCATCGTGTCGCGACTTGAGACACAACCATCCACGGCGACGTGGCATTTATGGCTTGGAGTAACAATGGGAATATTATCACTGGGAAATGCGATATTAAAAATCGCACGGAGGGAAACCGAACCCCTGCGATCTCATTCATCTGTTTGGGCCGGGCCGCTCGCTCGCGCCGCACGCGGAGGACAGCAGTGGCGAGGGGAATCCGAGCTCGCGCGCCTTCTTCCACCTCCCTCCGGTGGGGGGCGATCGATCCCCTCTCGTTCTAGCCGCCCTTCGAGTCGTGGAGGATGGGGGATTACAACGATGCCTTCAATCGCAACAACGCCGCCGTCCAGTCCCGCACCAAAGCCCAGAATGAGCCAATGTCCTCCAGCTCAAACATGTAATCTCGATAAGCCTCTTTTGCTCCCTCTATTTACCTCTTTGATCCATTGTTGCCCTAACTCGGACACCGTCCGGCTTAGGTTCACGGCCTCTTGATCTGGTCCCCCTCTTCTAGGGTTCGATAATCTATTGTCTTTTTGGAATGTTAGCCGTTTTTCCTTTTTTTGTCGGTAGATCTTGTTTCTCATTCATTTGATCACAGTTTCCACAAAGTTTGCATTTTTTGGATTCTATAGGAAGAAGTTTTCATCGTTGAATACTTATCTGTTTGCGATCTTCTTGTTGCTGTTGGGTGGTTTGCTGGTGATGATAAATATTTTTTCTTTTGTAATTCAAATACTTATCCCATACATCAGTTTTTGTAATTCAACCTCTGAAAAATGTTCTATTTTCTCTGTTTCTTTAAATCTTTTATTTGCTCTGTAAGCCCATGATTATCTTTGATAAACTAGAAAGTAGGAATAAGGGATAATCACAGGTATATTAGCCATATATAGCAAGATGAATATCATTCATATATATATATATATATATATATATATATATATATATATATATATATGTATTTAAGTGTTTTTTTTTTAATCATTTTAGTTGGTAGCAATACTTGAGAAGCCAGATGATTGTTACATCATGAAGAAAATGGGTGTAGCACAAGTAAATTCCGAAGTTGTATGTAGGTTTTCTTAATTCCTTCATTTGAGTTCTGGTCAGTGGACATTATATGGAAATTTAGATCACATCCTAGCTATTAGCTACTTGCAAGTGGTTTGCTATTATAAGAAGAAACACTGCTGGTAAGAAGAGGTCCTGTCTCTCTCATCTCTGAATTCATGTAATTTCATTCTCAATGTTTGTTTGTGGTCAATGCAAGTGCAACCATCAGTCAACTTGGTTACATAAGGATGATCAGGGTAGTAAATCATGGTGGTTGCTTCACGAAGGCAGTGAAAACCTCTAATTTCCCTTCAGATTCCCTCTGCAGTAAGCAGGATCTTCAATATTTTGAGTTCAATTATATTGTGATTTTATTGCTACTGAAATGTTTTTCTGGTTTTAAAGGCCAAATGAAAATCTTTTCATCATCCAGAAGGTTTCTGGTATATTTAGAATTTTTCTGGTATAATCTATTTATAATGTCTGTTTTTAGCTACTCGTAAAATTCCCTGGTAAAGGGGCGGTAAAACTATTTGATTCTTCCGGTAATGGGACATACACCAGTTTTGTGCCAACTCAATTTGTATGCTGATGATTCATCTCGCATTGTGAAGCCTTACACCTATCAAGGCGAGCACCGCTAGTGAGCTGTAGTGCCTGTTTGTCATGCCATTCATGCTCACCGGTTTCACTTTATAAATTTATTTTTCTTCTGTGATTCTCAGGTATGGTTAATCACAGACAAAGAGACAAAAAAACCTAGAGGATATGCTTTCATTGAATACATGCATACATGAGACATGAAAAGTGTGGCTGAAAGTTATCTTGTAGTATTCATAAACAACCTGTACTCATAATTGTTACAATAGTTGGGTTTTTTTTGCATCATGCAGCTGCATATAAGCAAGCTGATGGTCGGAAGATAGACAATAAAAGAGTACTTGTTGATGTTGAGCAAGGAAGATCGGTGCCAAATTGGCGACCTCAAAGGTTGGGTGGTGGACTTGGAACAACCAGGACCGGAGGGGAAGAAGTTAATCAGAAGCATTCTGGCAGGTAATTGAGCCAAAATTTGACCTTCAATATGCTTGTACCTCTTTAGACTAGGTTCAAGTAGTACCATATTCTGGATGATTATGTTTCAAATTTTAGATAAATCAAAGTTGATTATTTTTGTCTAAGTTTGTAAATAGTTTGCTCGGGTTGTGACTATGTAAGAACAGCTGCCTTCTTTGTTGTTTGTCAATATAGCATAAATACACAGTGGTGTTGTTTTTCATATGAGCTTTCCTTCTGTAGTAAAATGTCAATTATTATTGTGAACTTGGTTGAGCCTTCAAGGCAGTTTCAGAACATTATCATTTTGCAATTACTTACTGTGCTAAAATTTCCAGTCAAAAATTCTTCCTAGTTTTGAACCAGTTGAGCCTCACAGGAGGCTTTTTTTATTTAATATTCAACAGGTTTTGATACTTGCTCTGATGCAAAATTCATTTTGTATCATATTGGTACTATGTGATTCTATTTTCTAAGAGGAATTTGTGGTTAAAATTGTTTGAACTTACTTGCATACATGTAGTCTTTGTGGGAGATAGAGGAAAGATGTTAGTGAATAGTCAGTCCAGTGTATACATGCTTATGTTTTGTACCTACATTAGAGCCTTAAAATTGGTGACTAGTAGATAAACGTTCTTGCAACTAGTAACTATTAATGTAGTTGTACTACTTGTTGCAGGGAACTTGGGATTTTCTTGCATAATAATTGCATTTTAATTTGTATCTTCATTTTGTGGATGACACTGCCCTAGATGTGTTCGGAGCATCAATATTTATGAGTATTTTCTTTTTGTACATGAATTTTTCTTCTTCCCAGGGAGCAGCAGAAATGTGCATCAGGACATTCTAGATCAGAGGAGTCAAGAGCACAAGATGATCGTCAGGTGGACAGGTATGATGGCCTCTTCACTTTCCATTTTCTAGTGAAGGTACAAGTATAAATTTAGGATTCTGGTGACATCAGTAGTTTACATCATGTTTCTAGCATCTATCAGTTATTCATTTTTCAATGGGTGGACATGGAGAAGTCTCGAGAAAGGGGACGGGATCGAGATCGAGAATGGGAGAGGCCCCGTGAACGTTCCCATGATAGGGCATGGGAGTGAAGGGATGACAGACAGTACCACCATTGGGACCGAGATAGAAACAGAGAAAGGGACAGAGAGGAGAAATGAGTGTGGCAGAGAAAGGGAGAGAGAACATGGTCGTGATCGGGGTCATGGCAGAGATAAGGAAAGAGAACGTGGTCGTGACAATGACTGTGAACATGATAGTCAACCTGAAAGGGACCAGGTGCACGAGAGAGGCTATGATCAAGCTGGCTATGAAAGGGACCATGGTTATTCACATGACAAAGAAGCTGGATATGGTAGTGAGTAGAAGCATGGCAGGGGAAGCTGGATAAAATCCAGTAGCTGAGGTTGGTTCGGTTGCCGGTGGTTGCCACTGGTATGTCGTCTTTCTGCGTCTTCCATTCAGTATGTCACTTGTTATCAGTTTTTGCTAATCTTACAACATGAAAATCTCTGAATTTGTCGTGGGAAAATACTTCATGCAATTATTTCCCAGATATTGTCTTCCATCATTATTTCATGTTTTTTTTATACAAGTATACCTTGGTGTAAGAGTAACCTTTTCATGGATGTACTGACAACAGGTTGTTGTTCCATATCATAATTCCATTAGCATGCATCATGTGCGAAGTTATCAGATGTGTTATATACCAATGCAATTCAAACTGTTAAGGGAATCATCCAGATATGTAATGGGAAAATAAACGATGTATTCTTTCTTCAGAGGTGAATTTTGTTGAGGTCATTTCCATTTGGTGCAGCATGTCGTGTGGAAGAAGCTTCTACAGGTGAGGGCAAGGTGTGGAGCCTGGTGTTGGTGGTGCCGCGTCTCGCTTGGTGCGGCCAGCGGGACGTCCATCGTCGTGGCTATCGGTCTCGCCAGTGGCTTCAAAAGGTGATACAGTTGGACCGGTAATCTAACTCTTTCCCCGTCGTTAACCCTTTCAGGTCAAAGCTTAGCAAATTGCCCTTACTTTTGTATCATTACATCACTGACGTGCCATGAAGCACCTTGGCCAAAAACACTAGTGATAATTATTATTATGAGCTATAATTTACATATGTGTCATAAGTTCATCTAGTGTTTGATAACTTAATTTGATGCATAGTAAGTAATCTGAGTCATTTGCATCAACTAGCATGAAGTGGAATTTATCAATTTAATTATGCGGCATTATTGTGTTGTTGGGTTGTGGTGATGTATTTGACAAATCTTTTCTCCATCATTTACAATTACACACAATTTTATTTTTTATACTTGGCAATAATTTTTTAAATATTAATTTATATTAAGAGATTCTTAGGTTGGTCTAGTTTTCTTCTTGATTGAGATTATCTCAAGAGATTATTCATTGATATTATAATCGAATAAAATAATAATTTTATCAAAGGAAATAAATAAATAAATAAATAAAAGAGAGAGGAGACCGACCGAGACTTGTATCGGATTTGGGGAGGATCAATACGCAGTGGCAGCAGCAGCAACCTTCTAATGGGAACAATCTTACCCTAGTTTTCACCCGTGACGGGTTAAAATGGCAAACTTGTAATTAAAAAGCATTGCAGGGAATATAAACTTGTAGAATGGACAGACCACACGCCTTTTTAAGCGAACCAGAGACGGTGGGTGTCGCCTTGGCTCCGTTCGCTGCCGTCTTCCTCCAGGTTCCTCTTTGTGTGAGATAAAGGAGATCGGCGAGAGGCTTGGAGGCGATGTGGCGCCGCTGCTTGCCGCGGAACTTCCGCTTCTCGAGGAAGGCGTCGCCGATCGGGAGCGAGCCGATCCGTCAGTCGCCGTGGACGGCGCCTAGATCCTTCTCCACTGACTCGGTATTCGATTTGATCTGCGATCCGTTTGATGTCGTTCTAGTTCTTTAGTGCCGATCTCAGCTTGGAAACGCGCCTTGCTTTCCAGACCACTCGCATCACGTGCGTCCTCTGCACGTTGATCGACAGCGGGTCAGAGGATCAAAACCTCAAAACCCTCTAATTTCTTTAGATTTGTTTTAACGAGGGTTTGTTTCGTTCAAGCTAAATCTTCATTTTTGTTTGGTTAGTTGTTCTTAGTCGGATGATCGTTGCATTTCGCTATCAACTTTCGAGTGTCTTTTTCCCGGTCTTCTGCTTTGCCTCTTCGTTCATTTGTCATCTAGTTGTTTTATATTATAGCTTTTGGGTTACCACTTTTCCACTATATATTTTTAAATAGTTTCATTTGGTTTTCCGTTTCAACATTTCCTTCGCAATGATGATTCAAAGGAACACTATTTGCCACTTATGAGTTGCCAATTAGGTCCTATGTTTCATGGAATTTGATATTTGTTCTATGTGATTCTGTATGAAATTACATTTCCTCATTCGCATGTTCTTGATTGCAATTCTGGTTCTGAGAGGATTTTCAAGTTTATTTTGCCCATGTACATAGTTTTCATTGATTTTCTTTATTCTCCCTCTTTTGTCCATCATTAAATTCTTGCATGTCGAATAATTTCTGTTAGTTGGCATTTGTTGCAATCTTTTGTAATTTGTAGCCAGTTGATTATAATGACAGCAGCTCATCTCATCTTCAATGGCAAACTTAGTATCTGACTTTTGTTGCTTGTGATGAAGGTTGGGCGCTCTTCATATACTATCGTTGATCACACATATGATGCAGTGGTTGTAGGCGCTGGAGGTGCAGGGCTAAGAGCAGCCATTGGTCTCTCAGAGCATGGCTTTAATACTGCTTGCATTACCAAGCTCTTTCCTACTCGCTCTCACACGGTTGCTGCACAGGTGCTGAAATCTAGTACGACAACTTGGGCTCTTTTTGGTTTTTAAAAATCAGACTAGAATTTATGACACTAGGTTCAACCTCAGATGATAATATATGTAAAGATATTGATACCTATTTGCATTAAATATGAAAATCCTTGTTAAATAGCTTTCTGCAAACTGCAAGATCATTGGTTTGGTAGGTCTTCATGTTCTTGGCGGCAGATCAAATATGATGCTCTGAAAAGATGGAAAAGGACACGGAGAAAAAAAGAAGAGCACAAATTACGTAGAAAGAAACAAAAATAAAAGCACAAAATATGTTGAAGTCAGGTCCAGAGTAAGACCTACCATAAAAACTGTATGATGACTAATCTGCTTGGAGAAGTTTAAAGCTAGAATTATGACATTTAAGCACCACTGAGATGACTAACTGCAAAGAATTTTGGAAAGGTCTTTTCTTTTAGAACAATAAGAATAGCAAGATTAGTTAGAAATGAGCTTCTTGGTGAATAATACTTATAATCACATGAGGTTTCTTGAAATGTACAATTAATGAATTAAAGTAACAACTCTGTGGCTGTGAAGCCTTTTGGACATTTCTGGTAGTGGTGATAAGTGATAACTTCCATATCCCTGGAATTCCCACAATAACGCATTGCAATGCAACCCCTACTACTTCTCCTGACATTCTTAGATAATCTAATAAGATAAGCACCCTCAGATGGAAGTCAATCCTTTTTCTTATTAATGTGAAAGATCATTTTTAATTTATTTTGTTGATTTTTTACAAATTAAGGAACTTCTAGGAGCCATTATTTTGACTGTTGTTTAGTAAAACTCATTTACTTCCTATATCATTATACAGAACAAATTCTGGATGAGAATGCAAGATTATTTGTTTAAATAGTCAATTATCTTTTTCAAATCCCTGTGGGTTGTTCTGTGCCTCTCATAGGATTGGATGTTCAGACTATTTAAAGGTCGTTAATTAGCTTTTAATTGCTGTCTGTTTGAATATTTTTTTGCTGAAGTGTGATGGGACACTACATGCAGGGTGGTATAAATGCTGCTCTTGGTAATATGAGCGAAGATGACTGGAGGTGGCACATGTATGATACTGTTAAAGGAAGTGACTGGTTAGGTAACTAATTTGCAAATAATTTTTGTTCTGTTTACTTTGTACTTTTATTTTCATACAACTTATTGAAGTAGATCTTCCTGAACACTTGATTTTGTGGTGGCAAAGTTAAACGTAGAACATCAGCTCTTTGTTGCTAGGGGAATCATAGATTGCTTGTTTTTGACTGTGTTTCTCAAGAACAAATAATGCTAAATGCTTCATTCTCTAGGATTCTTCTGCATAAATGCAAGATTTTCTATGTTTTGACAGATTCTAAAAATGCTGTCTTTCGGTTGACTGAGTTTCTGTACTCTTATTGCTTCCATATGTGTTACTGACATGTAACCCTCGTTGAATTATATCAGGTGATCAGGATTCCATTCAGTATATGTGCAGAGAAGCACCAAAAGCAGTCATTGAACTGGAAAACTACGGATTACCTTTTTCCAGGACTGAAGATGGCAAAATATATCAACGGGCTTTTGGAGGTCAAAGTTTGGATTTTGGAAAAGGTAGATGCTTTGCTTTTTGATTATTTTTCTGGTCATTGGGGTTTCTCCAGCTTTGAAGTGTTTAAATATTCCTCTCACATTGGTTCACATCTTTAGGTGGCCAGGCATATCGTTGTGCATGTGCTGCTGATCGAACTGGCCATGCCTTGCTGCACACACTTTATGGGCAAGCGATGAAGCATAATACTCAGTTTTTTGTTGAATACTTTGCTTTGGATCTTCTCATGGATAGCAAAGGTAAGCAGCATCACATGCCATCAATCCTAATGTTTTTCACTTAATCAATAATGAAATTTTCTTAGTGTTCATTGATCTTGATAATTTCACTTTTTTAAACTCTAGCTACTGTCAATATCTAGGTATCTCATTCGCTTCCCTTTTCTTTATCCAAGAACTTAGATTGGCACTGGCTGTTTATAGTTGGTAGATTCCTGTATTTAATGAGGAACTATCAATTTCATATATGCACTTAACATATTGTTCACTGATAGATCTAAAATTGCCCTTCCAATTGGCTATGTGGATCTTAGTTGAAGTCTTACTTTTTGATAGAAACGGGTTTCATATCTTCAAATCCTTCTTGGAAAAGAAAAAATATGAAGGAAAAAACCTAGTAGCAAGGTTTGACTTACTGGTCCGAGCCGGTGTGTCGCCCAGTCGACGGCATGGCACGTGCCGTTCCATACCGATGTACCAACACATGGTACATCGATGTGTACCGATGTCTTGACGAGGAAGAAAAAAAGGTTGAAGAGGAAGGTTTAGTGGAGGAATAGAGGAGGAAGGAGAAAGAAAGAAGGAAGAAGAAGAAAAAAGAGGAGGAGAAGAAATGCAGCGATACCTGGGAAGCAGCTACAGCGTTGAAAGGAAGCAGTAGCATCACAGCAACGAAGAGGCGGTGCCACTACAGCATTGCAACGGTGAAGCAGTGATGAGCCAGCATCGCAGTGGCGAAGCGGCAAAGAGTTAGTGCTGCTGCCGCATCGCAGTGGCAAAGCGACGAAAAGGCAACGCTGCTGCAGCATCGCAGTGGCAAATCAGCGAAGAGGTTACGTCGCTGCAGCGGTGAAGCTGTGAAGAGGCAGCACCGCTGCAGCATTGCATCAGCGAAGAGGCAGTGCTGTGGCTTCATACACGAGAAGAGCTCTAATATGTTTGTTTTTTACGCTGAAATAGACGGAGGCCCACAACTTTTTGATTTTTTTTTATTGTTTTAATGCAGACCGCCCGAAACGGGGTGGTCCGTGTATCAGTCCATGCTTGGACCGGTATGTACCACCAAAACCATACTGTTTCGGGCGGTACAGCAATCCCTGCCTAGTAGTGTGGGTTCAGGTTTCATTTTAGGTGTGTACTCTGGTGAAAGGTTCTTCCTACATATTTATTTTGTATTTTATTGCTGTGTCTAGTTTAAATACATATTTATAGTCAAAGAGAAGGGAGCAGGGATGAGATTTTTAAGTTTTAAAAATGAACCATCAAATCTTTCTTTATGTTTAACAAAATTTATGTATGGAATTCCATGAAATTTTGTGACTCACAATGTTTTGATTCTTGAATATTTAAGATTATTTCATGGTCATTAAAACTAGAGCTTTCCGTGCAAGTTTGAGGACAACCTCTAAAAAAGTTCTACTGGTTTTATGAAAATTTAACAAACTGGATATTTTTGAAATTTAAAAGGATTGACAGAGTGAAGTATTCAATGCCTAAAAAAAATTATCTACTTAAAAAGTTTCTAATTCTGGTAAAATCACGGTCCATGAATGAAGATATCAGTTGCATAGTGTTTGAAGTTATCTTTCTCTTACCAGTACTAAGAGATTCTTCTTTCAGAGCTTGTAGTCCTGGTTTAAGTAGCACTCAATTTGATGCTTTCTTGTGCCCTGTAGTCCATAAAATTATGATGATGGGTCAATGATTAAAATTACTTTCTTGAAGATAAGGTTCAAAGTGTTTTGTGGATATAGGAGCATTGACTGTGTAATCCTTAAGTTTCAAATTATGATTATTTTGCTGTATGGTTTGATCCAGATACTTGGTTCCTTTACTGCATCACTTCTTTGTTTGTTGTTCCTTGTATTTAATTATGCAGGATAATATCTTATTCTGTGTAAAAATGATTTGGTTGTTTGATAATGTCTTAGCCTACAAACTATACTTGTGGTGGACTTGTTTATCTGTAAACAATGAAATTGTGACATACTAATCATGTGGTAGCCTTATTAGAGAACCAGTGGAATTCTGTTTTGACTATATCATGCATTTATTCTCGCATTTGGTTCACCAGCTTCTTGCAGTCGTTGCAACTTTCTTCCATGATATTTTCTATCTATTCCTTCTGCTTGATGGACATATACATCGAGGTTTATGTTCGTATGTATGTTTATGCCGTCCATCTATGTGCTAATATCTGTCTTTTGGCAACACTCAGGGACTTGCCAAGGTGTGATTGCACTGAATATGGAGGATGGGACCCTTCATCGTTTCCATGCAGCCAACACAATTTTAGCTACTGGGGTATTGATAGTTTATAGGGAATTCAAAATGTCATTTCTTCGATCAGTTGTATACAATTGAATTTGTTTGACTCAGGGCTATGGTAGAGCTTACTTCTCTGCAACCTCAGCTCATACATGTACTGGAGATGGCAATGCTATGGTCGCACGAGCTGGGTTACCTCTCGAGGTTTATATAATGATTTTTGCCCTATCAAGAGGTTTTAATTTCCAGGCATTTCCTATTCTTTTTGTGCTTAGTTGGTTATCCTTCCTGCAGGACCTTGAGTTCGTTCAATTTCACCCTACAGGCATATATGGTGCTGGATGCCTGATCACTGAAGGTTTGTTGTGGTTATCGCTTGTTTTCAAGTGCTCTAACTGATAAAATAGTTTCCAATATTGGTTATGTTCTTTTACTACATAGTCTTATTCGATATCAAAGTCTTTGAAGTTTTAGCCTCTGTACATATTGATATTTTTTATGCATGGTTTTGTTCACTTATCCTTTTGTTTCAAAAACTAACTTTTAGGATCTCGGGGCGAGGGTGGTATCCTTAGGAACAGTGAAGGTGAACGTTTCATGGAACGATATGCTCCTACAGCAAAGGATCTTGCATCACGCGATGTGGTTTCTAGATCTATGACAATGGAAATAAGAGAAGGTCGTGGTGTAGGTATGAGCCGAAGGATCACTTGCTAGTTCATGCTGATTTTATGAGTGCAATTAAGTGCTTATCGTTGATATCTGGTTCTTTTGAATATCGTAGGGCCACTTAAGGATCACATTTATCTTCATCTGAATCATTTACCTCCGGATGTTCTCAAGGAAAGACTTCCTGGGATATCTGAGACTGCTGCTATTTTTGCTGGTGTTGATGTCACTAAGGAACCCATCCCTGTTCTGCCTACCGTGCACTATAATATGGGTGGAATACCGACAAACTACCATGGCGAGGTAACGTCAAGTGGTAGTAGTCGTAGAACTGATTTTTAGAGTATCACTTGCTGTTTTTGATATCTGTTGCTGATTCTGCTTTTTTGCACCTATGATTGGTTTCTCAGGTAGTTCATATAGAGGGTGATGATCCAGATGCAGTGGTTCCTGGTTTGATGGCTGCTGGAGAGGCAGCTTGTGCATCTGTCCATGGAGCAAATAGGCTTGGCGCAAACTCACTTCTTGATATTGTTGTTTTTGGCAGAGCCTGTGCAAACAGAGTCGCGGAAATCTGCAAGCCAGGTATGCTTTTACTTTATCTCTGTGAAAGTTAAAACTTACGAAAGGTCTATCGTAAATAACCAAGCATCTTTATTTAATTTACAGGGGAGAAGCAGAAACCACTTGAGAAAGATGCTGGAGAAAAGACCATTGCTTGGCTGGATAAGTTAAGGAACTCAAATGGTTCACTGCCAACTTCAAAAATTCGTCTAAACATGCAACGGGTGATGCAAAATAATGCTGCTGTGTTTCGAACACAAGAAACACTAGAAGAAGGTTCTTTCTGGCTACGACTCATTAGTGTCAATTTGTAGAAAACGTGATCTGGTGGATTTTCTATAGCTCTTACTGTTCTGTTGCATGAATTTATTTTAGGTTGTCAGTTGATAGACAAAGCATGGGAGAGCTTTCATGATGTCAAAATCCATGATCGGAGTCTGATATGGTTGTGCCCTTTACTTAATGGCCTCGATGATGACATCTACTTTGTATCTATTTCAGTCATCTGATTTCTCATTATGCTTGCAGGAACTCCGACTTAATAGAGACTGTTGAGCTAGAAAATCTTTTAATAAATGCATGTATAACAATGCACTCAGCTGAGGCAAGAAAGGAAAGTCGAGGAGCTCATGCTCGCGAAGACTTTACGGTCAGATTCACTTTCTGCTGAATATGTTATTTCCTTTTTGTGCTGATTTCTTAGTATAACATCACCTCTTTTTTGTTGCAGAAAAGAGATGATGAGAAGTGGCTGAAACACACACTAGGGTTAGTATATTAAAAACTCTTTTTATCTAGAATACCATCTAACAATTTCAACATTTGGAAAGAAAATCTCAATCATATTAATGTAGTTCCATTGCATGTTTCTGCGTTTAGCAAGTGTTCAAGTAGATGGAATACAAAATCCCAGTTTCTGTTTATTAGTTTCTTTGGTAGAAAGGACATCAGTGGTAGGGACTATGGACATTAAAGATTGTGAAGAAAACCAGGGTCATTCTGTTGTATGTTAGCGTTAGAAAATGGATATGTATGAATTGCCAATGATGGTGGAGCTTTAGATACAATTTTATAAAATACTTAAACTGTTAGGTTTAGTACCAAAACTTTCTTAGTTTTGGCTTTCGGATGTATCAGTTGGATTTGCAAAAAATATTGCTGGTTAGAAAATTACTCATTAGAAAAGAGAGAATTTTTTTTATAATTTTTGAGATTGTACATATTTTCTTGAATTTTTGTATGTGATGATACGTGGATATGAACTACAAGGGTCCAAGCCTCGAAAACATTTTCGAACAGTGTTCCTTGATAACATCTACCAAATGGAACTTGATTTTGGTTAAAACTGAAGACATTGACAATTGGGTTGTTTCAAAGTCTTCAGGAGCATGAGCATATGAACGTCTGAGCATGTGATACTTGACATGCTCATAACCTCAAGCATAAATTGGATTAGAAGCTCGAGGAGATAGATATCTTTAACAGACAACCTTGATAGAAGTTCTCATAGAGCTACTAGCTATCCACATTCATGATTAAATCTATGCTCTTATCGTTGCTGTTAGAGATCCTATGCATGGAAAAGGATGAAACAAATATCTGATACAGAACTAATATAATTCTCTGCACGGTTGAATTTGTTTCCGTTCCCTCCATCAGATGCTCCACTTCTTACCGACAAAACACGGGCGACCAATATTTATAGTTGTATTTGTACTTGATCGATTCTTCATAATGTGAAGTTTATTTGCTTTTGCCGCAGGTATTGGGAGAATGGGAAAGTCAAGCTAACCTATAGGCCTGTCCATATGAACACTTTGGATGATGAAGTGGAGTCATTCCCACCGAAAGCACGGGTTTACTAATGCCTGCTTTCTTGCCTGGGTTGTTTTTCGAGCATTATCTGACTGGAGATGTTTTTAAGGTTAAAATAATGGAACATCAGCTTTCTCTGAGAAGAACTCGTTTATCTGTCAGTGAAAAAACTGAAATAATGTCCATGTAATTTATGTCAGAGAGAGAGAGATGCTGATAACTTATGAGATCTGTGATCAGCATTTCTTTTTATTTTTATTTTTTATTTTAATTTTCTCAACTGAACTCATCTCCTAGTCGTTGCTTTCATTATGTAATTTTCTATCCCATCTTTGTATGAGTCGCATAACTGCCCCTAATGTTAGTGAAGTGGTAGAAACATATCAGTTATGCTAATCTGCTATGGTTTAACCCCCCCCCCCCCCCCCCCCCCCGGAGTTTCTCTCTTAATAATGCAGGATTATGCTGTACACGAGCGGTAGGTATTATTATGTTGAAAAGATTCACTCTCCATGCAGGCATTTATGAACTAACTATTCCCCACCCCTCCGGCAAGCCAACTTTGCGGATGAATCTGTGATGACATGATCCATGTTGATGCTGACGTGAAGCGTCCCCAGTGGCCGAGCACTGAGAGTAATGAGGGTTGCACCTAACAGGTATCCCCATGGCTGATTTGTTTCTCATATATCCATCCATCCACCACTGTAACAGAGACAGAGAGAGAGAGCCGCAAGTGCCCCTCCTCTGGGTTAGGTTGCTCTGCTATGCTATCATCGCGGACTCCTACTGCAGCGCTCTTCATCCATCTTCTCTCCCACCCACTTTGTTTGGAAAGAGACTCACTCTTAAGATGTGAGCTGTTCTATGAACCTTTTTTTGACTGTTGGGATGAGATTTCTTTTGTGGATAGTGTTTTCTTGACCGGCATATATGATCGACAGGGATAGGAAATTGCAGATGTTGACATACATATATTGTGTTTTCATGACAGGCATATATGATCGACGGGGATAGGAAATTGCAGATGCTGACATAGATACATTGTTTGTGCTTAATCTCGTCGGGTTGGGGAATCATCTGAACTTTGATCAGCATACGCACATGGAGAAGAAGACGACAACCAAGATGAAGAGGAGATCGTCTTCGCCGACCAGCACTGGCGCGTTATCGGAACAGGCTGTGGCTGCACAGCAGGCGAAGAGGAAGAGAGGCCGGCCACGCAAAGTGGTGGAGGTGGCGGTGGAAAGGAATGAAGAGGAGGAACAAAAGTCTGCCGCTGCTGCTGCTGCTGAGAACGAACAAGTCGAGGCAGTGGAAGCAATCCAACAACAACAAGAAGAAGAGAAACCAAAGAGCAGAACAAGGAGAAAAAGCCAACAGCCTCGCAAGAGTAGTTGAACCCATCCACTCTTCTCTTCGTCTCTCAGTCATCTACTGATATCCTTTAATCTCCTTGGAATAATCTCTGTGCCTCTGATGCTTCTCCTGCTCTCACTCATCTTGTAGTCACAGTTGTGTTTGTGTGATCAAAACTCGTGCAACATGATTCTGAGATGTGTGTGTGTGTATGCGGTTTACTGAGATCATGCAGTTGGTGAGAGAGTCCGTTGCCTGTCCTTGTTCCCCGACAAGTCAACGACACAATAGATAGAGTGGATGATGATGGTCAACCATCCTCACATTCTTATTCTTGTAATGTTGTAGACCAATCCTGCATGAAATTACGTTATGTAACATAAGGCTTCAAAATTTGACAGAGGCAGAAAGAAAAGAACAATTGCATCTTTTTTCGCCTACTGCAATCGTAGATGATCGATCTACTGATCGTTCGGATGGTCCCAACCCACATTAAATGTCCCACCAACAGAGCAGGCATGTGTGTGTTGATAAGATCGAGTTCATAAAGTGGATGGTGGTTGAGTATGCCCACAACAACAACGCAATGCATGCAAACAAAAAATATATATTAATAGAGAGTAGTATTTTTCTTCTTCAATTGATCTAAGAACTGCCGGTCCAAAGATCCAATCAATAAGTTTGGAGAGCAGCTGAACAGATTTGATCTATTGCATGCTCTATCGTTTCTTCTACTGTCGTTTTGCTGAAAGCTGACTGCTACTGAAGCATTCAATTCAATAGTAAAGGATTATATTAAGCAGTTCGAAAAAGATCCATTATAAACAACTGTAAAAACCGCGCCAGGTAGGGGTCGAACCTACGACTTTCTGCTTAGGAAACAGACGCTCTATCCACTGAGCTACAGGCGCTTTGGTTGAATATTAGCACATCGACATAATATTTAAATATTAATATATATCATTAATTATTTTATATGCTCGGGAGAGAAAAAAAAAAAAGGTGGGAGAAAAAAGAAATCGAGTACATGTTGACTTAGGAATTAGGAAAGAAAAATAAAATATCTGAGTTGATGATAATTGCCAACCATCATAAGAAGATGACTGGATCGAGTGCGACGATGTTTACCATAATGACGGATCGAAAAATATCCTCGAGTTGCTCAAGCTCGCAGAACCTAGGCAATAGGAGTTGAATGTGGGTCATGATCAAATATTATTATCAACATTCATTTTCTTCCTCTTTCACTAATTAATGCATGTTAAAGAATTAAATTTAAAGAGTTCCTTTTTGTGTTTATCGTAGGAATTTCTATTGATAGAAAATAAGATTTTTCTAACTATATGAGGAAATCTTTTTATTCTATTGAGGAAAATCTTTCCTCCTGATCTGTATAAATAAGAGAGGGACATGTTTTTATCTTTTATTCTATCAATCACCTATGGCTTGAGGACAATAATAGAGGTACAAAGTTACTCCAATTTTTCTTCAAATTTTAAGCTCCAAAAAATTAGAGAGAAAAAAGACAAACAAAAAACACAGATTCAAATTATAGACAATAAATGACCCTAACAGGTTAGATGTGGATTAGCCTACTGCTGATGATCGTTCATTAGTTTTCTTGGCACTGTTGCCGCTCTGTTAATCATCATCCATAGAAAGATATTGACAGGATCTTATGTTGGCTGGTATTGTAGCTAAGTGTCTTTCTCCTTCTCTAGCTACTCCCACTTTCATTGGTCCATGGATCCCTCTGCTAATGGCCTGCGGGCAATCTTCTCTGATACCGTGACAAGTAATCTATAATGATCCGATGACCATATGAATTCTTAGTTTTAAATATCAATGCAATCTGTCCTTGTTGGTGGAAGGCACGTAAGAAGCATAAAATGAGTTACTAAAGCTATGGATTAGTTTTCAAAGGTTTGTGGGCGATGTGATTAAATAAGAGATCTGCCACGGATTACACTGGTGATCTGTCTTAATCAGTAAGTATGATTCTTTTAATGAAATCACTGATAATGAAATCTCAGATAAAGGAGTTATATCAACATGTCTTGTAGCTTCCATCATCGTCTTCTTCTTCTTCTGCTGACTTTATATACCCTGTGTACTCGTTTCATCACTTGAAATGGATTCATGTCTGTGTTTGGCTGCCAGTTTCTCTCGCATGCTGTTGTAATTTCATGAAGGTGGATAAGAATGTTCAGTACTCCGAGAAAGTGGGAAACGGGTAATCACTAAGACACCGCAAGATACTCTTTCTGGATCTCACATCAATCTGCTCAAAAACAATTCACAGAAGCCATTTCATCTGTTCATATGTCCACATATAATTGAGGGTGCTGCTTGGGCCCACTGCTGCAATCACTTCTATTCGGTCTCTCTCACTACCACCAGACATGATTATTATAGACATGAATAAGATACTAAAAGATCTCCTCGACTATGATATTGTGAAGATATTCTCATATGCTTTTCCTTTTGTTTGACCACATTTTCTGAATGCCTTTTGTTGTGGCTCTCTTTCTTATCAAAACAAATCTTTTCTGTTAGATTATGTCATATAGTTTTGTAATTGTGGGCATTATTTTCCTTGATCAAGCTTGTAGAAGACTTGTCCCAATATAACATGAGGGAAAACATGAAATCAAGAAGACCAGGGAGTGTTCACACAAAGAAGACGACTCTCCGGGAACTCAAGGGATGATAGAGCAGTTCTGCTTTCAACTAGGAGAGAAGAAGTTGATGCCGAACATGAGTCTTCTTCTTCTTCCTTGATGTTTTTAGCTAGGTAAGTGTTCTTTGATATCTTCAGCGAGTACTTGTCTAAATAGGAAGTGCATGCATGAAAGCTGAGTGCCTTGTGATCTTCTTTAATTTTCTTGTATATATGGAACGAAGTATGAACTCGTCCTCGCTAAGAAGCATGCTGGAAGTTTTGATACGAATCAAGAGCTCTCCAGTGTGTGCTCAGAAGCTCGTCTTCTGAGCTATTTGATCCAAATCTCTTTTCCTTTTCCTTTCCTGTTTGGGTGTAATAAATAATATAAACAGGCTGTTCTGTTCCGAGTCTCCTTGGTCCTTGAATTCCACTGCTTCATGTTCGATCAGGACAACATGTTATTCCATGAACTGGATTCCACGATGTTTCTTGGTGGTTTATGTCGGGATTTCCACTGCTTCATGTTCGATCGAGACAACATGTTATTCCGTGAACTGGATTCCACAATATTTCTTAGTGGTTTATGCCAGGATCTCTTTGTTCAGGGAAGTGGATCATAGAAGGACATGGAGGCACCCTGGAACGACTGGTTTGCACAAAGTGTAAGTGTACGCCATGCATCAAAGCTGCTTGGAACTACATGGGCTTTTAGGGTTTAATCTCGGAAACAAAAGATGTCAGACTCTTCTACAGACCTTGTTCTTCGAGAGAAACATCTTTGTGGTAGTTTTCTATCTATGCCTAATCTGCAGGGAATCGATGAGTCTAACCTTCTCCACCGGTGGGAAATAACATCAACCCATGAAGACACACCACCGGTTGCACCGGCGCCCGGGAGAGGCTTCCGGCAGTCCCTCTCTTCCGAGAGCCAAACCTCTCATCCTGTTCCGGCAGGCCTCGTTGCGGGATCAAGACTGACTACTCGAGGGATCATCAGCTGGAATTTCCTGGCCAACGAAGACATGGATCCCGATGCCTCATTCCCAGCACCTCTTCTACATGTTCCCGGGGTATCTACGAAGCCAAAGGAAGAGATGAGGGTTCCGGCTGCTGGTGGCAAGCATGAAGCTGTTCTTCACCGGGGAGCGACGACTGTCAACGCTCAAGCTCAAGAGCACATCATCGCCGAGAGAAACCGGCGGGAGAAGCTCAACCAGAAGTTCATTGCACTATCGGCGATAATCCCTGGCCTTAAAAAGGTAGCTTCGGTTGCTTGGTATGGGAGACATGTCTCTCTTCCTTACGGCTTGTTAGAAATCAGATATTGACGACTTGGAGTCAATTCAATTCAAAAACTTGATTATAAGTCAAACATTAATCTTTAGTAATATTAGACTATTCTCTCTGTCCATCACTTTTTTATCTCATGAATATTTTCCACGGTTTTAGCGGTATTAACATTGGTAGGAAACAGACCAATCAAAGACTGGACACAAATATATGGTTTCTGAACACTCTCAGAATCCTGAGAAGACTTGGAGAAATATATGTTTTCGTTCTGTTTTCTGATGCGAGATTACATGAAATAATAGGATGACAAACGTATGATTATGTTACACGGTGATAGATAGAGAGAGAGAGAGATGGATGGGAATTATGGATGAGAAATTGCATATAACTTGCCTCGATTTGTATGCATATATATATATATATCAATTTGCTAGGCGGACAAGGCTTCTGTTCTTGGAGATGCAGTGCGATACGTGAAAGAACTGGAGGCAAGGGTGAAGGCCCTGGAAGACCAGAACGTGAAGAGGACTGTGGAATCCGTGGTCCTCGTCAAGAAGTCCCAGCCCTCTGCTGCTGATGCTGATGCTGATGATGATGGTTCCTCCTCCGATGAGAACTTTGATGCACAACCATCACAGAAGCCTTTTCCTGAGATCGAAGCCAAGGTTTCCGGGAAGACGGTGCTGATGAGAATTCACTGCGAGAACCGCAAAGGGGTTATCGTGAAGATCCTATCCGAGATCGAGAGCATCAATCTCACCATAATCAATACCAATGTCATGCCATTTCTTGGCTCCTCTATCAACGTAACAGTGACAGCACAGGCAAGACCTTACTTTCCTGGTTTTCTCATGTATATGAGCTTGTGAGCAACTCATGTTCGATCTAATATCGCTGACCTCAATGTGAAAGAGAATGAATGCAATTTTCTTTTCTTCTTGCACAGATAGAAGAGGAATTCTCAATGACGGTGAAGGATCTTGTGAGGAAGCTGGGATCTGCTTTGAGTTAGCTTGTTCATGCGTGAAGAAACTAATGGGCTTATTATATAGACAATATTGTATCTCAGCAGTTTGTAATGCTCTCCCTTTACACTATCCCTATCCATGGGTGGCTTTGTATATATATAACATGAAGAGCTTTAGGCCATTCCTCCAAGAATCTCCATTACTGCTTGCTCTTTGCTGCAAATCCTACTTCAATCGAGTCACTCTCCTCATCCTTTCTCCCATTTAGCAAAAGATGACTTTTGTAAGATTCTTCCACGAGAACTTTGCTGTCTCTACTGGTTGTGTATGGCAAATGGTAGTGTTTGGTGCCTGATTTGATGGAATCCAAACCTGTAGGAATTTGTATGTTTGCGGATCACATTTTCTATTCCTTTCTGTCAGCTTTCTTCTTCTTCTTCTTCAGACATCTCGTCTCTAATCATAAATTTGATCAGTTTTAGTTGTGCAATTTTTGATAGTAAGAGATAATAATTTTATCCCAGTTTACTCAAAAACAAAAAAATCCCTAATAATAGGGTTTTATTGGATGACCGCCTGTTTATATTTTACCAAGGTGTCATGAACTTTTTTAGTTTTATCTAACTCGTGCAATACCCATGTATATTCGTTCATAAGAGGTCTGTCTATTCGAAACCTCTTATAATCCCTTAAGAACTTACAAAAGATAAGACAAGTTAGAGAAATCGTTTAACTTGGGATTTAATAAGTAGATATTTCAGTAAATACTTGATCGATAATGTAAATTACAAACATAAACTTTATAAGTTATGAACTGTCACATTAATAAGGGTCCAAAGTGATCTATCACAACTAAAAATCTCCACAAGTACTCACATAACACTGTCGTATAATAAGATAGTAAACCAACCTTAAACATTATCCAAAAGTCTAATGCAATCATATGTCACATGGGTAGCTCATAAGTGCTATGTTGGTTGACACTCGACACTACTTTGTGGCACTAAAAAATCTCTCAAAAGGTTGCCAAGATGGCCTATTTTCGGGCAATTTTATCTCTACGCGATGACCGCATATAATGTATTTATAAGACTATGACGGTCATAAAATCTAACCAAAACCAGATTACTAAGCCTACTATAAGTTTTCTATATGTTGTGCAAAGAATGAGCAAAACTAAAAGACACGAATATACATAAACATTACATCGAATACTCTTTGTACAAATTTATCTATAACATTCTCCCCCACTTATTCTTTCGACATCTTAGTCGAAGCCTTTGCGGATACTACATCTTCTCACCTTTGTTAAATATTCAATCTTCTACTCTAGTTGCAACATGCTTCTTGGCTCTAAACTACTCTCCGCCGTTATAGTTGAATAGTTAAACTTTGATTCACCAATGCTACTTCAACTCACCAATAACTTTGAATCTGGTGTGGGGTTGATCGAGTTGTGTTGATCTTTGTTGGTTTTTACAAATCCCTTATGAAGAAAAAGACCATTGTTGTATGTCAATCTCTCAAATGTCTTGCGCTGCTTGAACTGGGTGGATACCTATTAGAGTTTAACAGGCATCATCTCATAGACTTTGAGGTTTTGAGATCTTTTTTATGAAAAATTTGCCAATCGATCCCTCTTCTACTTAATTGTCGACTCTAAGTAGGTTTGTATCACTTCTACTTTTGATTGATATTAAGTTGAAAAATGAAATAGACAATCTACTCTCGGTAGAATCAATAACCATTTGTAACGATGTAACAACTATTATTTTCCACTAAGTTTCTTCGAAGAGTCTTTAAACATATTTAAAACTTCTCTATTGGATAAATAAGAGAACCGAGGAATACTCAATTTCATTCATTCTCTTAAGAGTTGAGAAAGCAAATGTTCCTTGACTTCGCCCGCCTCCTCGAGGGTTGTACTTCATATATCAAGTTGATTATTAGTATTTACTTACTCTTTGCTCATATTTATGAAGTACTCGAAGTGTTTGTACTCATTGCATTAAATTAAATACTACAATTCAGCTCCTTCTTGTCATTAAACTTCTAGAATGCAAAAAGTTTTACTTGAAGAAAGTAAAATTTCACCTCGACCTTGAGCAACTATTTGATAGTTTTGGTCACATATGGGATTATACAATCTTCTATATCATTTTCGTCACAACTCCTATAAGTAGAAAAGGAATAGCACCACATATTTCTTACAATGTTCCTTGGTTAAGCACTCCTGCATCGACCCGAAGTTCCTCATTTTTCACTATCTTAATGAGAAGCTCATCAACATCAGTTTTACAAAGTTCCTTGGTCTCTACCATTCAACTTTATCTCGATGCTTAGAATTTGTCTCTATGTTCTCCACCTCTTCAACTCCTTTCATGACTATGTGCCCCCCATCTATGAGAGCAAGGGATCAATGACTCCATGAAAGTTTCACATCTATAATATCATGGCACTGCTATCTCTATGACCATACTATTTATCGTCTCGCATTTCTCGTATTATAGTATTCCTATAAATCCACCTTCCTCCTTCCCTCTTTGTCCTTATCGTATGCTCTTTCATTTTTTTTTTTCTCCTCCCTCGTCAATCTAGATGATGGGCAAGGAACAATGAATAGCGAAAGTAATGAGATGATGAGAACAATGTGACATGGAATAATTTTTTTAGGGAATGTTCGGGTATTTATTAAATTGAAAGGCATTATTTGATAAAAATAAAAATGAGAATACCTTTTGAGAAAAATTAAAAAAAAATTTATAAAAATATAATATACTATATATATATATATATATATATATATATATATATATATATAGTCATTTGAGGAAGATCGATGATTCAAGATCTAATTTGATAAATTTACTTGTTAAAGCTTAGGATTTGAATTTTTATTTCATAATTTTTTTTATCTGAAAATATTATTGATATAATAAATTTATTTATTAAAGATCGAGTATTTAAAATTCTTATCTGGCTGATTTTTTTAATATAAATAATAAAAATTTTGGACTTTTCTTTTAAGAAAAATAGACGTTTCATAAATGAAAACGGCTGGCATCGACAGTACTATGTGCCGATTTTGATATTTCAAACTCAACGCATGTGTGTGTGTGTAAATGTGAAGGTTGGTGGTGTACGACCACATCTTCTCTTCTCTCTCTCTCGCTCTCTCTCTCGAAGACAGAGTGAGTGTTCGAGTGTGAGAGGCGGAAGAAGAGCCAAATTAGTTCACGCGCCACTCAGAGAGTGAGCTGTAGTAGTTTCACGACCACACAGAGATGCTATTACTGCTCTCCCACCTCCTCTTCGTCTTCCTCTTCCGCCCATCCGCGGCGGCGGCGGCCGCCGGTGCCGTCTACGCCGAGGAGCACCATGCCCTACTCTCCATCAAGTCCCAACTCTCCGACCCCGGCGCCGCCCTCACCGCCTGGGACCCCGCCACCGACCACTGCGCCTGGCCCGGCGTCACCTGCGACCGCGCCGCCGTCGTGGAGCTCGACCTCTCCGGGCGCAACCTCTCCGGTCCCCTCTCCCCCGCCTTCGGCAGCCTCCGCTCCCTCCTCCGCCTCTCGGCCGCCGAAAACTCCCTCTCCGGCCCCATCCCCCCGGCTCTGGCCCTCCTCACCGTCCTCCGCCACCTCAACCTCTCCAACAACCTCTTCGATGGCTCCTTCCCCCCCGCCCTCGCCGGCCTCGCTGATCTCCGTGTCCTCGACCTCTACAACAACAATCTCACCGGGCCCCTCCCCCGCGAGGTGGCGGCGCTTCACCAGCTCCGCCACCTTCACCTCGGTGGCAACTTCTTCTCCGGCTCCATCCCCTCGGAGTACGGCCGCTGGCAGTTCCTCGAGTACCTCGCCGTCTCCGGCAACGAGCTCGGCGGACCGATCCCGCCGGAGATCGGCAACCTCTCCTCGCTCCGTGAGTTGTACATCGGCTACTACAACAGCTACGAGGGCGGTCTTCCGCCGGAGATCGGCAACCTGTCCACCCTGCTGCGCCTGGACGTCGCCAACTGCGGCCTCTCCGGCCGCATCCCGCCCGAGATCGGAAACCTCCGGATCCTCGACTCCCTCTTCCTCCAGGTGAACGGCCTCGTCGGCGAGATCCCGCTGGAGCTCGGCCGCCTCAGGAGCCTCAAGTCGATGGACCTCTCTAACAATGCCCTCACCGGAGAGATCCCGCCGAGCTTTGCTGACCTCGGAAACCTCACCCTTCTCAACCTCTTCCGCAACAAGCTCTTCGGCGCCATCCCGGAGTTCGTCGGCGATCTCCCCGAGCTCGAGGTGCTCCAGCTATGGGAGAACAACTTCACCGGGAGTGTCCCTCGCCGGCTCGGCAAGAACGGCCGCCTTCAGTCCCTAGACCTTTCGTCGAACAAGCTCACCGGATCGCTCCCCCCGGATCTCTGCTACGGCAACAAGCTCCAAACTTTGATCGCGCTGGGGAACTTCCTCTTCGGCCCGATACCGGAGTCCCTTGGCCGCTGCAAATCCTTGAGCCGCATCAGAATGGCGGAGAACTACCTCAACGGAAGCATTCCGAGAGGCCTCTTTAGCTTGCCCAATCTGTCTCAGGTTGAGCTCCAGGACAATCTCCTCACCGGCGGCTTCCCGGATACTGGGCGTTCCCCAATATCTCCAAATCTTGGGCAGATTTGTCTGTCCAACAACCGGCTCACCGGCCCTCTGCCGCCGTCCATCGCCAACTTTTTCGGCCTTCAGAAGCTGCTGCTGAACCAGAACTCGTTCACCGGCGGTATCCCACCGGAGGTCGGGAGGTTGCAGCAGCTCTCGAAGCTGGACTTCAGTGGCAACCGGTTTGCCGGCCCAATCACTCCCGAGATCAGCAAGTGCAAGCTGCTGACTTTTGTCGATCTTAGCAGGAACGAACTGTCTGGCGACATTCCCGAAGAGATTGCGGCGATGCGCATCTTGAATTACCTCAATCTGTCGAGGAATCATCTCGAGGGCCAAATCCCGGCGGCCATCTCCACAATGCAGAGCCTGACGCAGGTGGACTTCTCTTACAACAACCTCTCCGGCGTCGTCCCAGGCACCGGCCAGTTTAGCTACTTCAACGCCACTTCCTTCGTCGGCAACCCGGACCTCTGTGGCGCTTATCTCGGGCTATGCCGACCTGGCATCTCCAATGCAGGACATTCGGCTGGCGCCAAAGGCTCCCTCTCAGCCTCCTCCAAGCTTCTGCTTGTCATTGGCCTTCTTCTCTGTTCTGCTGCTTTTGCCATCGCTGCCCTCTTCAAGGCCCGATCTTTGAAGAAAGCGAGCGAGGCTCGTGCGTGGAAGCTCACCGCGTTCCAGCGGCTTGAATTCACTTGCGATGATGTGTTGAACTGTTTGAAGGAGGAAAACATCATAGGC